GTCAATAATTGCTTTGATCCTCATTTGAAATGTAGTTGTATACTACAGAAAGCCCACAGCTGTTAGCTCAGCCAATAAAAATGTATACTTGAACACTGTAATTGGGAAGTAATATAGCACAATGTTAACAGAGCAGAGCAGGCTCAGGAGTCAAAAACAACTGCTTTGCTCATATCCTGGTCTTCCCACTTCCTAGCTCCATGACCTTAGGCAGGCAAGTCATTGAACCTGCATACCTCAAGTCTCAGTAACTGTAAAGGAAAGATAGTAACAATACCTATATCATGGTACTAAAGTGTGGACTAAATGAAGTAATGCATATCAAACAATGAGCCTGCTGGGGAACAAAAACTGGGGTTACAAAGCAAGGAGGCAACTGGTGGTTTTTGTTATAAGCTTTGAAGAACTACTTGGCTCCTTAAACTATGTACATCAATAATTTTAATAATAAAAATTAAATTCAAAAAGTCCTCAGCACAGTGCCTGGCATATAGTAAGTGCTCAATAAATGGCAGTTTTATAGCTCTGATTACTGCACTTTCATCAGGCTGGGAGTAGTGTATTTTTGCTACCTGTCCCTTGCTAGAGGAGAACATAAGCTGGATAAAATATCAAGTAATAGTTTTCCTTCAAGCTTTTCTTTGAACCATCTTTAAACCTTTCATGAAATGGATCTGCATGAAGAAGACTCTGAGGTTTCATGGCAATAGGAAGATTACACTGGTGCCCTCTAATGCCTTACATAATCATTAGTACAGCTAAGAACACCAACCACTGGGTCAAATCTGCCTTCTGAACTTGCCTTCTAGTCAAATTCAGTGCCCCTGGAACTGGACAAATACTGGGACCAATTCCACTAAGTCATCTCAAACCCATCCCTCATTACGATGTTAAATGTATTGGCCACCTCAAAGTAGATAATAAGATCCACAAGCAATTACATTTTCAGGCCCATATAGCAAAAGATTTGCATTTTCCAAACCTTCTCTAGTACCCACTACTATTTCTAAACCCTCACCTGCATGGAGAGAAAACTGTTCCAGACCTTAGTCAACAAAGATAGCAAGTTAGAAAAATAGTTGATTTCTAATATAATAAAAGCAGACTGACTCCTGCTCTAGCTCCAAATCCAAAATGCTCTACAGAGTGGTTGGCAAAGACAGAGAGAGAGGGAGGAAAAGGAGCAGGTGGGAATGCGGGCAGGCAGGGCAGATGGCACTCAGCAGTGGCTGACGCTGGAGGAGCAGGATGAACCTCCCCACAAAGATAATAACAAGTTTTTCCTTCTGAACCAGCACTTGGAGGAAGTAATAACAGTGGCTGAGACTGTAATCCAGTTTAAAGGAGGATTATATGACATATATCAGCCTCAAACATTTTTTTTTTAAGTAAGAACAAACACAAAATAAGAGCCACAGTCCAAGTGACAAAATAAATGAATTTAGGATCTTTTAGCTCCCCCAGTATGAACTATTACTCCTCTAGAGAAAGGAAGCAAAGCATTTCATTGTCCTGAAGGACAGCCCCTCAGTTTTTGCCAGTCGTCCTGAATCAGACCATTTGGTGTCTTATTTAAAGATTTAAAAAAATTTAGAGAGGGCCGGCCCGGTGGCGCACTGCTGTAGTGCACCGCTTGGGAGGCGTGGCGGTGCGCTCCCGCCGAGGGTTCGGATCCCACATGCAGACCGGTTCCCGCTCACTGGCTGAGCGAGGTGCGGGAGCAACACCGAGGGCTGCGATCCCGTTGCCGGTCCCGGTCCGGTACAGGGGTGACACTGAGGGTTGCGATCCGTTGCCGGACACGGAAAAAGACAAAAAAAATAAAATTAAATAAATAAATAAATAAATAAATTTAGAGATTAAAAAATTACTGGCATATAAGAAAAAGATACCTAATTTTAATAGGGCTTTCTTTTCTCCTTCTACATCTCTGTAGATTGTTTTTCATTACTCTCACTGTCCAAACAGAAGCTACTCTGGCCCCCAGAGATGAGTCAGAGTGCCAGAATTTATGGCAAGACTAGCCTTGAGTCAAGAGAGTGAGCACCTATCTTACTTTGAGTGTTAGTCCTCAGAGGCTCCTGAGCTAATCACATAAAAAGAGTTAATTAAAACAGCTTCTAACTTTCACCAATATTTGACCTCACTGTCCACCTGGGATAGGTCGGGCACAATTGAGCTGACAATGAGGCCAGCCAATTTCTAACAAAAGCAAGGAGCCAGATTTATGAATCTTTGGAGCAGGTCAGCATATACTCACTTTTCTGACTCCCTTGGGCAACTCTCACACAAGGTGGGGCCAGGCCCTCTGTGTTGTGGGAGGCAGCTAGGTCAGGTGTTCCCACCTAGCACTTTCCCCCTCCAAGGACCAGGACACTGAGTCCAGAGTGTTTATGATTATTCAAGAGTAGCTGGGGAAGGACTCCGGGGTGTCCAGTTCCTGGCACTGACACATGTGCCACTCTGCTAATATATCCACCAAGCCCTCATAGAGCAGGTGCCAAAAGCAATCTTTTCATTTCATCCTCCCAACCTTAGCAAGTTAAACTGTAACTATGGAGACATCAGGAAACTATCTGCCTACTAAAACTGTGGTCATGAGCTTCCAAGAGCATCATGTTCTTTCCCAGCCTTGAAGGTAGGCAGGAAATTTCTTTAGAGTAAATCAAATCTATTGTCAACTCAATGATCCCTGATCTCAATGCATAAGGCATCCCTCGTACCCATCCAATAAAGATGGAACCTGGGATGAAGTGAAAATACTTCCCAACTGCAGAGCCCCAGGCATCTTTCTTCCTTTCTACTCACTCATAAATAAAAGGGTGCTATTTATTCTAAACACCATATGGTTTGTGTACCCTGAGAGTTAAATTTTAAAAATTATTTTTATCAATCAGGAAAAGAAGTCACTACTTTAAAGACCCAGTAAATAAGACAGCTCTTCAAAAAGACGCCACAGGCAATGCTCAGTTTACACAACAGCCACTTATCTTATTTCAACTCTGCCTCTTTCACCCTTGATGATACTGGTCATCAACTCAGTTCATGCTTTCCGTCAACATAGACTCCAGCCCAACGAGAGGATCTAGGGAAAGCCCAGGGTCACCTACCAGGAAATACCTTTTAGTAATGTGCCACCTGGACTTGAATTCTAGCTCTGCCCCTCACTGTCTATGTGATACTGGGCAAGTGACTTAGCCCCTCAGAGCTTTTGTTTCCTTATCTAGAAATAAGATCATACACAAAAAGTACTTGGCAGCAAATCTAGCATACAGGAACAGTTAAAAAATAATTCTGGTATATACCTGATCTCATTACTTTATCAACTATACACTTCAGAACCTCAAGCATGCCTGCCTTTAGAAATAAATAAATCATCTATTTATGAGCTAAATATAAATGTTTAGGATTAGCTCTGCTTTTAAGTCTTGCCTTTAGCAAAGATTTATGATAGATGTCTACCCTTATCCATTTAAGTATAGTTCTAATTCTTATCAAAGCCATTTGTAACTATTTCATCCACTACTCCTCAAAGGAACACACTGCAACCAACTAAACCTATCTCCCATTGTTCATCACCACTCACACCTCTTGACCATAGGTCCCTTAATCATTCTGCTCTTAGTATTTAAACTGTCTTCCATACCACTGTCCTTGCTGTATGTCTGTCTTTCCAAATCTTATCCATCCTTAGAAAAGTCATTTCTTCAACTCCATCTCATTTTCTCTAACTCTTATTACTTCCGATGCCATTATGCACAAAATTATATATTTTGATTGTGTTGTTCTCTACTCACCAAATTCATACTTCATCACAACTGAATTGCTCTCTAATTGCTTTGTGCATGTTTCATTCATCTCCCTTACTATACTGTTAAGCTCCTAGCGGGTAGGAATCACATCTTTTATTTCTCTTGAGTCTCCTACTGTACAGTGTACACTGCTCTAAACAGTGCACAGATGTGTTAATATATACTTACTGATGACTATCTATGCCCTATTCTATTCCTAAGGAGCCCTGAGAGGTGGAACTGACTAACTACAGCCCGAAACGCTTTCAGAAGACTTGCCACATGCTTCATATAAATACTTTCTGAATAAGATTCTTAGATTAGGAAAAAAAGGAGATCTCAATTTCTTTTTAGGATCTAAGTTTCACATTTTCAATGCATTATAGTCAACAGTCTTCTTGGATGCTATCTCTAATAGGAAGCTTTTCTCTGTGGTTCTTGCAAATGCTACTTCTAAATGATCTTACAGAGTCCATAAAAAAATTAGATTAACATACCATTAATTCATCAACTTCAAGATATACTTCAATAGCCTCACCACAGTCCAGACCTTCCAAAAACAGCAGCACCTGGTAGGACCTTAATTAAGGCTGGCAGAAAACACCCCACCCCAACCCTCCACCCCACCATCATCAAAGAGTTGGTTAAAAAGCATCAGTCCCTAAAGCAGAAGAAAAGAACTAATGAGTTCACAACTCAGGGAGATGAGTGCACTGCCCTGGCCAGGAACACCAGCCCTCTCCTAAGACTACAGTGACAGCTGAGCCCAATAGCTCACAGCTGGGTAAAGTGCATTCCATTAGAGAAATGACTGGAGCAACTGGTTTTGCCTCTGCCAACCTTCATCTTCCCATTAAAGTCAACTGCCTCAAGTTCCTATTCTAACAAGGCATGCTTAGCCTAGCACTGGCTCATTAATACCCAAAACAGTCATAGACTCTAGAGGGTTAAACTTTTTTTTTTTTAATATCTTTTTTTTTTTTTTTTACTGACCGGTAACGGGATCGCAACCCTCGGTGTTGTGCCTGCACCGGGGACCGGCAACGGGATTGCAACCCTCGGTGTTGTGCCCGCACCACGCTCAACCAGTGAGCGGGAACCGGTCTCCACATGGGATCCGAACCCTCGGCGGGAGCGCCGCCGCACTCTCCCGTGCGCCACCAGGCCGGCCCTAGAGGGTTAAACTTAAGAAAGAAAAAACTGGAGAAATAGAAGCTTAGAAGAAAATCTTTTATTTATTATTATTAAAGATGTGAAAAGTCTTTCCTCAAATATAGGCAATTTACTGCCTTGCCAATCCAAATCTCTTATATCCTGTACAACTAATGCAACTCCACAAAACCCTTTGTAATGACCATCCAGTCAACCAATAAATCAATCCTTCGTTATCCTACTACTACTGAATGAAGTCCCTCTTACTAGACCTTGTGGCAAAAGAGGATTCACATCACCAGGTTTCTTTCTTGATTTGTCTCTTGATTGAGACTATATTAACCACTGCTCAGAAAAATATTATTCTTACAACACAGCAACTTGCCCCTCAAATAAACATCAACTTTATTTTTAAAATTGAGGGTGAATGCCAACATGAAGCAAGGAAAGACTTAACCATTTATGTGACTATATAGGTGGGATGCTGGGCTTAATGTAGAGCATTATTAGTCTGAGAAGAATGCACAGAAATGCTCACAGGACTCCACCACACGAACCAACTACAATAGTGAGCTTTCCTCATCAGGGCTTTATTCAACCAACCAAAACCAACAACCAAGAACCATCATCACCTTAGCAGAGTATAGAAGATGCTGTTTCATCAACTAGCATAGAGAAACAGATCAAGATATCAAATGCCTAGAAGAGTGTCTCACAAAAATCAGAAGATTTAAAATCACAGTTAACAAACAATTCTCTCACTTATCCTTCACATATGAAGTCAAAATGTCACCTGGGCCACTCTGGATTGTGGGTGAGGAAGTCAGTGTGCAATAAAAGACAGAAAGACATGAATAAAAAGACATGCAAACAGGTAAATAAAGTGAAAGCCCAACAACATTTAGAATAAATAGTTGAGCTTGTCTTTTTCCTCTGAAAAACAAACAAAAACCCAACCTAGAACCAAAAAACAAAGTAGGAACAAATTCCAAATGTGTGTTGTTCTTGCTCTAAGCTTAGTATACATTTATACTGCAAGCATGGCTAATGATATTTGTGACTTTTTTTTTTTAATGCTAACGGTAAATAACTTTGCTCTTTCAATGCCCAAACCAGAGCAGAGAGACAGGATTAACTACAAATGTGGATGAAGCAACATCCACAGGACATGAAGATGGGGGGGAGGGGAGAAGGGGTAGGCTTTTGTGTTGTTACTGTTGGCAGGAGAGCTAAGCAGTCTTAAAGAACCTCCTCCGGGGAGTGGCAGTCTAGGATTCTAGGTTTGCCATGAAGGGGTATCACGAATCCCAAGGCCCACCACCTACCCCTTCTCCTCTTCTCCGAGGGCACCTACCTTACTGTAAGTCACTACTGATAAGTTGTTTGCGTGACTGCTGGGGGACAGATTTACAGAGTTCTGTGAGAGTCTATTCTGATCTTGCTCGGTTTGGTCAGGAGCAGGAGCCCATGTGTTTTTGCTGATCGAGTCGAACCCGGAACCCCCAGGGTCTTTTAAGTTGTTTTCATCTGATTGTCGGTTCTTTTGGGGAGAGGCAAACGGGTTGAAGTTTCCTTCTACCTTGCGATGTGGCTGTGTGTTGAACTCCGTTTCAAAAGATGACAGCTGCTGCGTTACTCCTAAAAGTCCACCCACCTCCACACTGAGAATCACCCAGATGACATCTGAAACAAAAAGGCAACTCATGTCAATACCAGGCATATCCTTGAGGGCTAAGGCAGCCACCACCATACATCATCCAAATCATAAAAAGAAATGTTCTTCTATGTGCTAGTTTTACACGTTTGCTGACGAAGCTGCCCTGTACATTTGCATTGCGTGCATTTCTACATTTCTAGTAATGTCAAGTTCAAACTCTGGTACAAATTCAGTAGAGGTCTGTGGTGAGATCCATGAAATTCTATTTGTAAAAAGCTTACCAGTTGATTCTGATACACAGCCATATTTGGAAATCATTACTCCAGAAGACAATGATAAATAGACAGAAACTGAAAAGCTACTGTTCCCAGAATTAACAGCTCTTTGTAGTTTTTGCTTTATTTTGCATGTGTTTAACTCAGAAAATTCAGGGCAGGCATAATTCTTGAGTCAAAAAACACTTAGAATTACTAAAATTTAACTTATCACCTTCAACCCTTTTTGAGGCAATTTAGAGTGACCATACATTGTCCAAACTAGGACAGTAAAAGAATGAATTATTAAATTAACAGCTGTTAATAATTACACCAAGACATAGGTGTAAGCCAGTAACCTAGACAAACTGGGACATACTTTCACCCTGGCTATTTTTTCAACCTATGTGATTAAAAGACACCATGAATTTGGTATACCTCAGACTTTCTAAAATAAACAATTTAATACCAATTTGCTTTTCTGTAATATTGGGAAACCCTACTAAATATCCATACTGAAACTGTAATAGCTTTTTTTAAAAAGATGCACCATAGGACATTTGATCATAATTCAGTCCCTGACTCCCTCAACTGCCAAAGCTAAGGGTTCAAATAGAAAAACAAATAGAGTAGTAGTATCCTTTGATGTTCAGCACCTCACTTCAGAGAACAGTGGCATCTACATTCCTGCTGGAAGATTTTCAAAAAGCAAGCTACAAAAAGGCTAAGAAGCTTTTAAGCATGTGAACTCTGCTGAAAACAAATATGAAAAATTGTCTAGGCTCCTAAATAACTGTTGAAAGGTTGATAGGAAAAGGCAAATACATTTCATCAGTTAGTTACCTGGAAATACAGATAATATATAAGCCTAGAACAAATAACGACAGTGACAGAAACCGAAGAAAACCCTCTTAGGCTGTGTTTCTTCTCAATTTTTAATTTGAGTTCTGTATCAGAAGAAGTGGATCTTAGACTGCCATACAGACATAAATATTCAATCTAAGTTTAGTGGTTTGGGAGCTATATTAAGAACTGGTTTTACCCAAACATATAAGAGCCAGACCCTAGTTAAGTGGAGATACACTGACATCTGCTGTTCATATCTGGAATTAGCAACTCCTTTCACCTCTGAGAAGCCACTAATTTTACTAGCATCACTAGCATGACTCATAGGAATAGGGCATCTATATAAATCCTCGTGTAAACTAGCACCATAAAATTTAAAACTTTTCATTTAACACTGTACATGCAGTGTGCCACTTCATTTAGAAATCTGGGACAGTGTCAGAGGACTTGCGTTCAAGGCTCTAAAACAATCTTGTAAACCAATATGATGTGGGCTTTAAAGAAAAATTCCTTCTGGTAATGGGTATGCCCCCAGTATGAATCTGGCCCTCACATCAGGAAAAAAAAAAGAAAGAAAAATTCCACGGCAGGCAGCCTGAGGGAGATTCATTCCATCTCTCCTATCCTAGCTTTCTAATAAAGGCAGCATTCCTTTACTCAACTATTCATTTTTCCCAAACAGATATGCCCTGTCTTATAGTACATTTATTCCTACTTCTTGTTACCCCCAATCTGTTTTACAAATTCATTTGGAAGTACAAGATAGTTTTAACATACTCAGCCACAGGTTAGACGCTTCATTCTCTTAGCTCAGCAAACTAAATGCTTATGAGAAAGGACAGTCCTCTGAAAGCTGTTATCAGTAAATGAGATTAATGACATTTCCCCGCCTGGCTTTGAGAACTAAAGCACCTTTAATATAACTCACTGGGTCTTACCATGTTTAAGCCACCTCATTCTCTTTGCGTTAGCTATTGCTCTATACTGTTCACAGATTCCACATAATAGCTGTGAAAGGAAGGTCATTTGAGAAACCACTGATTTATAAACCAACAATAAAACACCAGTTCTGATCCTCCAAAATTATTACCATAATGGGTCACCATGAACAGCAAAATATGCCTTCTACATGGTACAATCTCAGTCATCTAAGTACCACTTCTAGACTCAGATTCCAGAATGCGTTCACCCCCTGCACAGTGTGTGTGTGTATTATTTTATTTATTTATTTTGTCCTTTTTGAGACCAGCCGCACCGTGCTCAGCCAGTGAGCGCACCGGCCGGCCATCCCTATATAGGATCCGAACCAGCAGCGGGAGCGCTGCTGCACTCCCAGCGCCGCACTCTGCCGAGTGCACCACGGGCTCGGCCCTTATTTTTAATCAAATAAACAAAAAAGATAAAGATGGACCAATAGGCTTGTTTAATAGGTTGACCACTCCCAATTCTTGCCAGAATGCTTTGATTACTGAGATAAGAACTAACTGCTAGCCAGATTATTTTACCATCTGTGATAATGAAACCATAGCTGGAAGTGATCAACCAATGAAACTGCTTTACTTTCTAGATAAAGGAGTTGAGGTCTAGAGGTAAAAGTGATAAGCCCAAGGTCAGACTTCAAGTTAGAAGCAGATTGAGAACTCCCAGATCTCAGTATAGCTCTTTATTTTTATTTATTTTCTTACTGGAACATAGTCAATTGTACAAATCTGTGGGGTACAGCACTGAATATCAACACCTGTCAGCAACATGTGATGCTCAAATCAGGATAATCAGTATATTCAACATTATACAATGTAATAAATTTTCATGGCCATTTACCAGTATAGCTTTTTAAACTCACACCTATTTCTCCCCAACAGGAACTTGGGAACCCAAGTACCCAGGGAACTAAAGCTATGGTTAAGTAAGTCCCATTTCCCAGGCCCTATTATCTTCACCCACAGACATATGATCTTTGGCACCAATAACAAGAATGAGCCAACGACATGTCCCAGAAAAGTAGCCATGAAGGTAGAATCAAGTGCCAAGCTAATGCAGTCAGGACTCAGTAAGCAAATGGAGAACCTCATTTTAAAATGTCTGCCCTTAAGACAATTTTTTTTAAAAGCACCTGAGCCAGAACTTTGGAGCTAGAAGGTACTATTATCTCATTCAACTTGTTCCTTTTACAGATGACAAAGCCTTATTATTAAAGTATAAACTTCCTTTTGTAGAAATAGATAATAGATCACTAAAGAGAGAATGCAACCCTCTTTTCATATCTTCAGCTCAGACTATCAGAAGTGTAAAGTAAAAGGAAAATATTTTACCTGGAGCCCACATCCATAATCTTAATGAATCATACCGACACACAAAGACATCTCAGATTATGGTAAAAATGTCAAAAACATCTGCATATATCTAAAAACTAGCAACACAGGTCAAATCACATCATAATAAGCATAAACAAGTATCCACAATTTGTCCAGTAAAACAGAACTTCTAAAAATCAGTGCAATATTCCCAACTGGTATATCTGTTTCTCCATAGGACATGGGTTAACAACTCAGAAACTGTTGTACACATATACCAGGGTTGAACAAATAAGTAAATGGATGGTAGATGTTGGGAGCAAGGCTTCTCTTTGTTGAAGAAGTATACTACAGAGAAGCAAAAAAGGAAGGCATTCTAAAATGAATCCTGGGGTACTGAATTAAAGTTAGAAACGTCAATATAAACTCTTGGTTAGCTTAATATACATACAGATGAAGAAATATAGAAACAATTATAGATTTACATCTGTATACAAATATTAGTATGCTTATATACATTATCTACCTCTGTTTGCTGAGAGGGCCTAGAAATTATGAAACCCCAGTAGCAATGAACATACCCAATGCTGATATTTTGGTTTCTAAATACCACTTTCCAATAAAAAGAATTTTGCTTGAATAAATGGATGGTTCTAGAGCTAGGGCATGGAAAATATAAGATAAATATGAAGCATCTTGCAGTACCAGAAAGGAAGTGGTCAAGAACGAAAGGATAAGGGTATGTCACAGGGACACAGGAACTAACCTAAAAGAGCTCCCTCTGGCCAAAGCTGGAAAAATTTGAACAACAAAATAACATAGGATTGAATTATAAACCAAAATATAAAACCAATATATGTGAGTCCATCATGATATACATAAATGACTAAATAATTGGGAGAGAACAGCCAAACCTCCTTACAGAGGAATTCAAAACAATATATATAGATACTACCCCTTCCAAGAGGTGGAGCTTAATTCTATACATCATCCACCCACTCCTAGAGGTAAAAGTGATGACCCCCCAAGGTCAGACTTCAAGTTAGAAGCAGATTGAGAACTCCCAGATCCCAGTATAGCTCTTCATTTTTATTTATTTTCTTACTGGAACATAGTCAATTGTACGGCTAGACTTAGTGATTTGCTTCCAAAGAACAGAGTAGGGAAAGAGAAAAACAGTAACTTTACAGTAGAAAACCCTGGCAAATACACTACTTATCCTAGTGATCAAGGACAACATCTGTAGTGATGTTAGGTGACTATAAGGTACCCCCTGATAGGGCACTTCATCTCTGTGGTATTCTTCCTGAAACTCAGTTTAATCATAAGGAAAACATCAGATAAGCTCAGATTAGGGGACATTCTATAGGATACTTGCTGGAGGAGACTGCAGACACAATAACTAAGTGTAATGTAGTAGCCTAGGTTGAATTCTGGAACAGAAAGAGGTCATTAGTGGAAAAACTGGTGAAATCCAAATAAAGTCTGGAGTTTAGTTAATAGTAACGTACCTATGTTGATGTCTGTTTTAACAAGTGCAGCAATATAATGTAAGATGTTAAAAATGGGAAAAATTGGGTATATGAGAACTCTATAATCTTTGCAACTTTTCTGCAAATCTAAAATTATTCC